CATAAAGAAAGACCACTGGGGTAAAGGAAAGTTCCTCAAACTGATTTGATCTCCAGAATGGAGAGAACCTAGATCTAAACTTGTGAGGTCTCTGCAGCAAAAATTAAAAAGGAAGAAAGGAAGAAAGGAAGAGAGGGAGGGAGGGAAGGAGGAAAAGAGAAAGGGAGGAAGGAAAGAGGAAAGGTAGGAGAGGGAGAGAAGAGAAGGAAAGAGGGAGGGAAGAAAGAAGGAAGGGAAAGAGGGAGTAAGGGAGGGAGGAAGGAAGGGGAAAAGGAAGGAAGGAAGGGAAAAAGAAAGAAAAAAGAGAAAGAAAGATTGTGATTATATAGAGAAAGTATGAATGTTTGGTTTTCTCTTTAATCTCTATGTGAACTATCTGGACTTTGTAAAGTGCAAAAATTTTATCATAAAGCTCTAATGTAGGTTTATTGGTACAAGCATGTCAAGTACATTTTTTTGGAGGGCAATAGTCTAAACTACACATAAATAGCCAAACTTCATCAGATTAAACTAAATCTTAAGAATGTTATTTCTGAATAACAAATTTCCCACTACATGCTAAACTCCAGAGCAGACTCAAGATCGTTGGTCGTATTTAAAAGTTTCAAAAAAGATCCATTTCTGACCAAATATACTTAGTTACTGATCTAATTATTATAATAATCTTGATTTTATAGATTAGTAGTCATCCACCCATTCTGTTGGCAATGTCTTACAGCTCATATACCCCCTCGCATACTTGGGTTCAAAGCAGTAGATGGTATTTTATTCCAAAACTGAAATAGTGCCATTGTGGTATGTAGGTAAATGGAATGTGGAATATTTTTACAACTTTTGTATGCCCATAGCACATGGATGTCTTTGGGAAGTAGAGGTCTTCAAATCCTTCAGGTCAGACCCCCAGCTGGGAAGGATGATTCTAAGAACGTTCAAACCAGACAATTTTCACAATTTTCTAATAGATTTAGAGAACTGTATGCATATGGTATGTCTGAGGAGGAGAGAGAGAGGGAGGAAGAGAGATAGAATTATGAAATATTGATGTCAATTAAAAGAAGAAATGGGATATGCAGAAACATTTAATGTTTTAGAGATCTTGATGAGAAAAAAAGAAAAAAGGCAATCGCAGAAGAGGAAAAGAAGGAACTATTGTCCTAATATGAAATGTCCAGTCTGTGCCAAAATATAGTGTGAGACATGAGATTTTTGCTGTCATCAGGAATGCCATAGACACAGCCAAATTGTGCCTCTTCCTATTACCTCCCAACCTGAGGCTCTGTGATGTTTCCAGAAAATTTGCATGTGCTAGCTGCCAGGGAGACCATGATGGGAGAGGAAAAGGGCACACAAAGAGATGAATGAGTTTATTCCAAGTCTCAGACAGAGGCAGCAAGAGGAAAGACACTTTAAGGTCCCATTGCCCATACCCTGGAGTGAGAAAGAGATCATTTAAAATAATTCATCCTATCCTAGGTGGGAGTCAAAGCTGATGACCTCGAGTTAGGGGAAGGGAGGGAAAAAAAATATGGCCACCGCCTAAGCAGCCATTTTTGATACTTCTTAGGTGAAATAAAAATCATAAAGAATGCTAGGTCTAACAACAGGCAGATGGCAGGTGGTTTGGACAGTATAAAGCTTAAAAAAAAAAAGTACTAAAAAACATAAGCAGCTCAGTTGAACAGCAGAATGCATTGACCAAAGGCAACTAGGAAGCCTGAGGCTACAGGGGCAGAAAAGAGATGTGGGGTCAAATATGGCTATAGAGCTTCTGAGATTGACAGGTGTGGAAATGGCAGTTAGAGATGGCCATAGAGAGGCAGAGCTGTAAACAATTGAAGAGCTGAGGGTTTTTACAACTGACAGCTGTGGAGGTGGGGCTTTGGAGAGGACCAGCTGCAGAGGCAATTTCCCCCAAATGACCCTGGTGGATGCACAAATACAGCAGGTGACAGCTGAAGAAGCCTGCCCTGAGAGGCAGGCCAGCAACAACATGAAGTAGCTCCCCCTCTAGCGTCCTCAGAGTGGAAGTTCATCCCAGCTTGGGCAATTCATTCCCGTTTCCACCGGCGTGGGAGACTATGAGGAAATTGTTAAACTAAAGGATTGAATGTTAGAAGACTAGAATAAAATGATAACCAAATTCATCTGGGGGGAAGAAAGGTCAAGAATTGCAAGGAAAATAATGAAAAACAGTGAGAAGGAAATGGCCTAGCAGTACCAGATTTCAAATGTACTACAAAGCAGAATGATCAAACCAATTTGGTGTTGGCTGAAAGAGAGGGAGACAGAGAGATCAGAGAAACAGATCAGATACTCAATACACAGAAGAAAATGAACCAAGCAGCCTAGTGTTCAATAAATCCAAAGACTCCTAAGGGCTCATTATTTAACAAAAAATGCTAGGAAAATTGGACCGTGGTTTGGCAGAAATTAGATTTAGCCTCCTACCTTATTTCTTCTTTGTTTATGAGGGGCTAAAATGATTTTATTATACAAGTTTACTCATTATTTTCACTTTACTATATTCAATTAACTGATTTGATTTTAGCCTTCTGGTGATTTGCTTGACCTTTGACTATAGTCTTACTGGATGGAGACTCAAGCTATATATTCCTCCTCCTGCATTAAACCCAAATAAGCATGAGGACCCCAGGTTGGAGAGACACCCATGAGATTTAAAGAAATCTTGAGGAAGCACACTGGTGAGAAAATGCACATGAGAAATGCACATAGAGAAATATAAGTGAAGGAAAAGAATATATCAAAAGGGGGATATAATGTGAAGGAGAAGAGATGCCAAAGCTAATGCTTACATTTGTGCCTTTCATCCCATTTCCTCCATAAACATGTTCCATCGGACATTTTCTTCCTCACTTTCATTCTCTCCCGTTCTACTGACTTTCTCCTTTGCCTATAACCAGCTGTCTCCTCAATTCTAAAAAAAAAATAAAACTTTCTTTTGACACTGCTGATCACCCAACACATACATATTACTTCTTCCCTTCACCATTACATTTGTAAAAATGATAGCATAAGTTTGCTGTTTCTCCTTCTTCATCACCCATTCAATCTTCAGTTGTCTACAACCTGGTTTGTGTCTTACTCTGCCTGTTGTAAGCAGAATTATCCCTTTGTAGGTGAAATGTTGTAGGCATAATTCCTCCCCACCTACTTTTTCAAAGCCCTTTTTGCTCTTTCATCTTCCATCTCCATGGGGCAGCTAGGTGGTACAGTGAAGAGAGTGCCAGCCATGGAGTCAGGAAGACCTGAGTTCAAATCTGGCCTCAGACACTTACTAGCTGTGTGACCCTGGGCAAGTCACTTATCCCTCTTTGCCTCAGTTACCTCATCTGTAAAATGAGGTAGAGAAGAAAATGGAAAACCACTCCAGTATCTTTGCCAAGAAAACCACAAATGGGGTCACAAAGAGCAGAACAGGATTGAACAACAACAATACCCCAGTTTCTCCAATCACAAAAGAAAATGATCAGGGCAGCTAGGTGGTGCAGTGAATAGAGAACCAGCGCTGGAGTCAGGAGGACCTGAGTTCAAATCCGGCCCCAGGCACTTGACAGTCACTAGCTATGTGACACTGGGCAAGTCACTTAACCCCAATTGCCTCACCAAAAAAAAAAAAAGAGAGAGAGAGAGAGAAAAGAAAAGAGAAAGAAAGAAAAAAAAGAAACTGATCTATTATGTTACTCTTCTCAGTAGTATTTGCATTTTAAAAGAGCACCACTGGTAGGGAGCAATGCTTAATCCAAGGAAAAGGATTTAAAATGGTGGAATTTCAGGCATTTTGGCATCTGGGTGGGAGAGATACTCTGGGGACGTAGTCTTCATAAAGTCACTCAAATCATACTATGTAGGTGACTACCCACTTTGCTTATGCATAAGGTTGTTTTGTCTCTAGCAGCCTCTCCTGTAGGTTGTGTTTCCTAAGCATTTTTCATATAGTTTACATATAGTTTATTATGTACTTGATTACTCACTGGACAAAAGAGAGAACCTGGTCTAACAGACAGAGGGCTGAACACAGAATCAGAAAGACCTGTCTCTGTGACATTAGGTATGTGACCCTGCATGAAATGAGGCAGCACCTTAGGCAATTCCCTGGGATTTGACTATGATTCATAGCTCTGATTAGTGGAGCGGGTTCCCACAGTGAGAATTCTCTGCAGCTGGTGAAATCATGGGTCTTCTCTGAGCTATATAGTAAAGGACATAGTCAGGATTTGGAGTCTAGTGACTGACAATATGAAATCTAATGCTACTTTCTACCTGCATAACCTTAGCAAAGTCACTTAACCTCTTTCAGTCTATCCCTAAAATTGAAATGGTTGGTCCCTTCTAGCTCTGAAATTCTAGGATTCACTCATTCATTCGACCAATGCTTATTCAGCATCCCCTATGTACAAGGCAATGTGTTGAGCACTACTGTGGAAAATAGAAAGATCTAGAAAACATAATCCCTGATCTCAAGGAATTTATGCTTGTAGTCTTAAGTAGATCATAAATTATTTGTATATAGAGTTCACGTTTTCTTTGGTATCTCTCCCTGTGTAAACATTAAACACCCAAAGGCTGTTTATTGCATGTTAAAGCTTCTAATGAACCCAACAAATTTAATCTGAATCAGATTCTTAGAACTGTCTAGAAAATAGTGTGATAAAGTGCTGTTAATTTAGAGAGCCTTAAACACTTTCTAAATAAAAAGCCTTATAATTTCTCAACAAATTAAGTGAATGATAATTATTTTTTCCCATTTACAAATGAAGAAAGGGAGGCCAAGGAAGTAACTTTTCTAAATACAGTATTTGTGTTGCTTAGCACAGTGCCTACTCAGAAATGTCATGACTTGTATCTGGAGTAGAATTTGAACTCCTGACTAGAAATTTCAGGTCTACCATGATGAAAAAAATGTTCTTTCATTTGTGCTCATCTTAAAGGAAGTTTTCCCTTTTCTACTAAACTTGTTTTATAATTTCCTAATTTTCCAGGCAGTAAGACATCATGGAAGACCGTGACTATTTCTTTGATGAGTTTGAGAATTACACCTATCCCTTTGAGTATTCTCAAGAAGAGCTGGAATTGGAAGAGAAGGCTCACCTGGGAGCTGTGCAGTGGATTTCCCTTGCATTATATAGCCTAGCATTTGTCCTTGGGGTGCCAGGAAATGCCATTGTCATCTGGTTCACAGGGTTTAAGTGGGAAAAGACAGTCGCCACTCTCTGGTTCCTCAATCTGGCCATTGCAGATTTCATCTTTGTTCTCTTCCTACCTCTTTACATTTCCTACGTGGCCATGAATTTCCATTGGCCCTTTGGCACCTGGCTGTGTAAAGCCAACTCCTTCATTGCCTTGTTGAACATGTTTGCCAGTGTGTTCTTCCTCACGGTGATCAGCCTGGACCGTTACGTTCATCTGATTCACCCTGTCTTCTCTCAACGTTACCGGACGCTAAAGAACGCCCTCTTTGTCATTGGCATAGTCTGGCTGGTGGCAGTTATGATTGGTAGTCCTACCCTGTACTTCAGAGAAACTCTTGACCTCAACAACCACACCATCTGCTACAACAATTTCCACCAGAATGACACTGGCATTATTTTAATGAGGCACCATGTTCTGACCTGGACAAAATTTGTTTTGGGTTACCTCCTGCCCCTGCTCACCATGATTATCTGTTACTCACTTCTCGCCCTCCAGGTGAAGAGGAGAGCGACCCTGAGGTCCAGCAAGCACTTCTGGACAATACTGGCCGTGGTGCTGGCCTTTGTGATTTGTTGGACTCCCTTTCACCTCTTTAGCATTTGGGAGCTGTCAATTCACCACAGCAGCCACTTCTACCACGTGCTTCAGGCAGGACTCCCCCTCTCTACTGGTTTGGCCTTCTTCAATAGCTGTCTGAACCCTCTTCTTTATGTCTTGGTTAGTAAGAAGTTCCAGGCTCGTTTCCGGACTTCAGTTGCCGAGCTCTTAAAACATACATTACGCGAGGTCAGTTGGTCCGGGACAACGAGTGAACAGCTTAAACACTCAGAGGCCAAGAACCTGTGCCTCCCAGAAATGACTCTGTGAGGAGGGTCCCCAGAATTGAAGCTAAAACAAAAGAAACCCAAACTGACATGGCATGCTAGTAAGAAGCAACTGATATTTTTTGATAAAATAAACAAGCCAGGCAAATACTGGCTAGTTAACCACTTTATCAGTGAGCCATTCTTCTCTTATTTTCCACTGTGCAGTATAGCTTTGTGTGTGGATGTGCCTGCATATGGGTATTTCCTAACTGGGATATCTTTGAATCAAATCTAATTACAAGATACCCAGTAGGCCATTTTTCTATCTGTTGACTGAGGCAGCCCTATTTAGGGTTGCCATAGATGTGGGGAAAGCTTTTTAAATTTGATTCTTGCTCATTACAATACACTGACATTGTCTCTGATTTTGAAGCATTTTATTATTTTCTTAGAATAACTTAAAAGATCCTGGAGCTTCTAATTAAAGATAAGATAGATTTTTTTTACAAGAATACTAAGGTGTATGCTGCTTCTAACATTCCTTTTCATTTTTGCAGATAGTCTCACAGACATATTCACAATGTTACAAATAGATTTATTCTTAACTTTATGTAATTCATGCATTCTGCCAGAGAATGTATGTTATATTCATTTAAAGTTTATTACTAGGAATTTAAATAGATTCTCAAAACTGGTGTTATGTGTGAGTGTATGTCAAGAACATCATAAACCCACAAGGTTGACATTTAAGTAGACAATAGACTTGCCCAAAAGATAATGGAAAAAATATAGAATTTGGAGCCAAAAGAACTTTGATCTCTACCAACTCCATGACACTGGACAAGTTACTTAACCACTCTGGGACTCTGTTCGTTATCTTTAAAATAAGAAAGTTGGAATAGAAGATGGACTATAAGGTTCCTTCTAACTCTGAATCCTATGATCCTATAACAAGTTCATAAAATGAAGGCTTTGATGACACATTAGCTTCATTCCGCTATTTCTCCATATTGTAACTTTTTAAAAAGTCCAAGCAATAATGCACAAGAGTCATCTTAAATAGAAACAATTCAATTCAACAAAATAAGTTCCTACTGTAGGCAAGGCATCATGCTAGGTACTGGGGACACAAAGAGAAAAAAAGAAATTAATAACCCTGCCTTCGGGGGGCTTAAATTCTACTGGATTGTTCACAAGTACATACAAATGTAACCCAAGCCTCAAAGCACATTTATATGAGGCTCTTTTATTGGTGGAAATTGATTATTCAATGATCTCTACCTGTCAAGAAGTAGAGTTGGTTTCTAGAAAAAGTGAGATTCTGGTCTTCTGGCTTCCATCTTCAAGAGAGAAGTCATACCATTCCAGAATCTCTTCAGGTTGCTAAAGAAAGACCTGGGAAGACCACCTTCTGAGAAAGTGACATATAAAGGAGCCAGCATTTCAATCATGTCCCTATTCCTGGTTTATAACACTAGAGACTTTGGGAAATTTCCCCTTGGATGAGATCTGAGACTCTCTTGGTTGAGGTGAATTATTTCACACCCAAAGGGAGAGCCCATTATTTCTGTGTATTTTCTGGTGTGTAATCTCAAATGTATACTTTCTCTGACTTCTGATTACTATCTTTTGAATAAATAGGTTTATCTGCTATTTGCTACGTGTTCATTGTTTAACTGGCGTCTGATAGGAAGAGGAATAGAGCCTTGAATATACAGCTTATAGTACTCCTTTCCCGTTAAGAGACAGAAATCAGGAGTTTAGTTTGAACCTAAACATTATTTTCCCTAGATCGACAATATTTAAAAGAGCAGATAGATATAATTATAGCCTAGTACTCTCTCTTTCTCTAAGGGGAACAGAGTAGCCATCCCTTGGACCCAAGTTCCTGCTTCCCCTCATGGCAGGAAACAAAGCCTCCCTTGGGGAAGGATTGGGGGTTGGTGGCAGGAAGAGACGATAGAATTATCTTTTCTGGACTCCCTGCAAGCCACATCTAGACACAGGTTCATACATAACTTACGTGGACAAAGCACAAATGTGTCCACACCACCCCTTACACAGAGTGTGTACTAAGTAGTACAAATTAATTTCAGAAGAGAAAAGTATAAATGACTGGAGGGTGAGGGAAGGAGAATCGGCCTGGTGAATGATGGGGAAAGCCTGTGTACGGCCTGGTACTTGAACTATGCTCTGAAGGAAGCTAGGGATTCTGTCCTTCATTAGCCAACAATTTTTGATTAAAGGCTTACTGTATACCTGGCACTAAATGGTAAGGATACAAAGAGAGGCAAAAACATTGTCCTGCTCCTCAGGTAGCTTATGTTCTAACGTGGGAAAACATGTAAATACTTTCATATAAGGTAAATACTAAGTAAATGAAAGGAAAGTTCAGAGAAAAAGCAGTCACAGTGCTGGGGAAGAAGGGAAGGGAGGAAGAACCAGGAAAGGAAAGGGGTTAGTCCAAGCGTGGGAGACATCCAGGAGCACAAAGCACAAAGTTAGAACAGCAAGGATACCAATGCAGCTGATCATAGGGGAGTCATGTAAGAAAGCTGGAAAGGTAGGAGGGAGCCAGGTAGTGAAGGGTTTTAAAGGTCAGATAGAGGAGGTTATGTTTGATCCTAGAGAGGACAGGGAAACAATGGAGTAAACTGAGTAATGGAAGGGGGTGACATGGTCAGGCTTATGCATCAGAAACATCGCTTTTGGGGGCAGCTAGGTAGCACAGTGGATTAAAGCACCAGCCCTGGATTCAGGAGGACCTGAGTTCAAATCCAGCCTCAGATCAGACACAAAACACTTACTAGCTGTATGACCCTGGGCAAGTCACTTACCCCCATTGCCTATCCTATGAGAAACATCACTTTTGCAGCTGAGGGAAGGATGCATTGGAGTGGAGAAAGATGCAAGGCAGGAAGAAGCTATTGTTATCACACAAGCTTGAACTGAACAGAAATTTCATTTCAGAAGCTGTTCCCAAACACAGACCATCAGTGCATCTGTGAAAGCCATGTACTGAAAAAGAAACAAATGACAGAAATTCATGGTTCACGTGCTATCCTAGCTATCTGTTCTCCTTGAAATCTGAAAAAGCTCTGTGCGTGTCTGTGTTAAGTTTAGAAAGAGGGGGGAAAAAGGGTTGTTACAAGGAGCAGCCTGGCACAGTAGAAAGAACTTGCAGGTCGAAGATCTGTATTCTAGTTCTGTTTCTGCCATAAGCCTGACTGGGTGCTTTTGCCAGTTATGTCCTTTCTCTGAGCCTCAGTTTCCTCTTCCGCAAAACAAGGACTTTGGCCAACGTGACTTCTAAGTTCCTTCTAGCTGTGACATTCTGTAATTCTAAATAAAGTTTGAAAAGTTAAAGAATCATTTTAAGAAAAAAACTCTTTGGAGCATTTCCCAGAAGTATTCATGCAGGAGAATGAAATCAGTTATGTGTTAATACCTTAATGTTTACAAAGCATTTTCTTGCTGTGAAGCAGAAAGTACAAGTATTCCTCTTCCCGTTTTATGGATGAGCAAAACAAGGCTCGCAGAGGCTATGTGATTGCCCAGGATCATATGGCTAGTAAGTATTGCAGCCAGGATTTTAATCTAATTCTCCTGACTCCATGTTCGTAATTCTTTCCACTTATATCACCCTGCCTAGGAAAAAAAAAAGAAATGAAATGAAAAAATGAATTTTTATGTCAATCCTTCATATTATGAAGTTGTTTTTCCTATTTTCTCCCCTCAACAATTCCAATTCCAAGCTGTTTTAAAATGAAAGTAAATGACAGGCCCCTCTTTTCTGATTGCCACTGTTAATTTGAAGCTTTGATTCCTCCAGCAGAGCTAAGAAATCAGAATTGATAACACCAGTGCTGTTTCTGAGCCATTTTACCCAAAAGTCTGTTACAAATAATCCAGATGTCAACACACATTAAACCATTTACTTAATGGTTCCAAAACTCCAAATGAGGAGCACTTGCAGTATATTAGAGCACATTAACCTTCAAGTTAATAGCCACCAACTCTTTGATTCTTGAAATTCCTAGGTTTAAATCTTATTTTCATTTTTAAAAATATGCCAGTAGCTCTAGGGGCAAGCAAAAAAAAAAAAAGAAAGAAAGAGAAAGGAAGGAAGAAAAATCTTCTCCATTAAGCAAATTAAATGAAAGCATGAAATTCAAGGTCTGTAAGGGGAACCCCTGGATCCATAATTAGAATCAAATCTTGTGTGACCTTGAGCAACTCACTTAACTTTGCTAGGCCTCAGTTTTCTCATTTATAAGATGAAGGGGATTGGACAAGATAGCTTCAGAGATCCCCTCCAGCCCTAGTTCCAAAAGCCTATGAAAATGAGCAATTATAGATTGATGGATCTGGAAAGGAGCTCTAGAGATCCTCTACTCCCAAGTACTCGTTTCATAGCTGATAAAATTGAAACCCGTTATTAGCCTGCTGTCTGATTCATCCATTTATAGCCAGGTGGGCTCTATTGGAATCATCTTTAGTAAAAAAGACCACTTTTGTTTATAAAGATGAGAAGCAGGTTTCACAATCTTTTCTAGTAGCAAAGGCATTAATAGTAGACATTCAGATTTCTTCACTAATTTACATTTATAAAGTTGATTCTTCACGCCCACCCAATGAGGTAGATCTTGCAGGTATTATTATGTCCATTTTACAAATGAGGAGAGTGAGGCTCAGAAAGGTTAAAAAATAATTCAGCTTCTCACAAAAATCCCACAAAGTGAGTATCAGAGAAATTATTACTAAGAGAAGCAAAGAAAGAAGTAAAAGATGAGCTACATCCTCAGGTACTAGATGGCTCTCAGATGTGATTTCTGGGCCATTGTCAATACTATTTGAAAGATCACATAAAGCAGAAGAGGTGACATAGATTGGAAGGTGACATAAAATTGTCCTGATTCTCATAAAAGAAAAGAGAATGGAGTCTTTCAACTATAGGCCAGTGAGCTTGACTTCACTTCCTGAGAAACTGGATCATTGAAGGGATGGTAAATGAACATCTGGAAAAGGGAAGCAATGACTATAAAGAGAGAGGCAAGTACCATTAAAAACAGGTAATGCTTAGCTTTTTTTGTGGTGGCAAAGAACTGAAAATTGAGGGGATGCCCATCAGTTGGGGAATGGCTGAACGAGTTGTGATATATGAATGTAATGGAATACTGTTGTGAAATAAGGAATGATGAGCAGGCTGACTTCAGAAAAACCTGGAAAAACAATGGATTGATGCTGAGTGAAGCGAGCAGAACCAGGAGAACATTGTACACAATAACAGCCATGTTGTGTGATGACTAATGCTGATAAACTTAACCCTTCTCAGCAATGCAAGGATCTAAGACACTGCCACAGGTCTCATGATGAAAAATGCTATCCACATCGAAAGAAAGAACTATGGAGTTTGAATGCAGATTGAAGCATACTATTCGCTATTTTTTTCTTCTGTTTTGTTTTGTCTTGTTCCTCCTATTGGTTCTAATTCTTCCTTACAACATCACTAATGTTAAAATATGTTTAATAGGAAGGTATATATACAGCCTATATCAGATTGAGTGCCATCTTGGGGAGGAAGGGGGAGAAAAATTTAAAACTCAAAAGCTTATGGAAGTGATTGTTGATAAATCAAAATAAATTAATAAAAAAAATAGGTAGTGCTACACTAAGCTTATTTCCTTTTTTGACAGGAATGTTAGGCTAGTAGGTAAAAGGAAACTCTGGATATAATTTACCTAGACTTCACCAAAATTTTTGATGTTATCTCATACAATTCTTATGAAAAAGATGGAGTGATGTGGATTGGATGATATAACAATCATATATGCCAAGAATCAAAGAGTAGTTGTTAATGTCAATCTGGCAGGAGATCTCCAAAGAGATGCCCTAGGAATCTGTGTTTGACCCTCTGCTATTTTTAATTTTTTATTAAATTAAAATTAAATTAAAATTTTAAATTATTAATTTATAATAACAAATAAATATAATAGATTTCTTGATTAGATTAAGTTTAATTAATTTAAATTTAAAAAATTAAAATTTTTTATGTATCTTTATTCTAAATTTAACAAACACCAAATAAAATAGGTAACTCCATATCCAGAATAAAATGGAAAAAAAGAAATGTAAATGTAACTATGAATCTCTGTTATGTACAACTTATTTTTCTTTTTAAATATCTGATCAATTCAATGTGTCACTTTCAAAGCTGACTTTCTTGTCTGTGATTCTTTCTGACCTTCTTTTTCTTGTATCCTCAGAGCTTAGCACAATGCCTGGAACAGAGTAAGATTGTTTAATAAATTCTTGTTGACTGATTGGTTTCCTCTTCTGAGCATTTTTAAAAATGCTTCAGTTATCATCTTTTCTTTCCTGGGAGGAGGAGGCTACCCTATCCCTAGTTCTCCTCTCCTTCCCAACTATTTCACAACCCCTCCAATGAGTGTAATTTTTCTTTTTTTTGTGTGTGATTTTTGCCAACCAAGCCTGTGCTGTTTAACATTTTTATCATTGACTTGGATAAAGGCATTGTTTGCTCACCAAATTTGTAAATGACATCATTTACAATATAGAAGTGGTAGCTAAGACATTGAATGATAGAGTCAGGATCCAAAATGCTAAAGCATTGGGCTAAATCTAATTAGATGAAATT